AACCGAAAGAGGGTAGTGTTAGTATGTTGACAGTCCTGTGCTAAGAAACAGGAGCAAAATAAAGGCTTTTCTTATGTCGTGATAGTGCTTAAGAGCTGATCTTGAGTAGATTGTAGGTGAGTGCTGTTTTGTTCTGAATTGTTTATCCTTGGAGCAGGTTCAGTTCAAGGAAAGAACAGATGGATAGTGGTACACAGGAAAGGTTATAACATCCAGTCCCACATCCAAATTTATACCTGGTATCTGTCTAACATAATTCTGGATTCTTCAGGTAAACTAATAATGAGCATCTAATAAAAGTTGGTTGTATTCTTCTCTTACAGAACTTGTGAGATCAAGGAATTGTCTTTATGCTCATTTTACAGATTTGATAAAGGCTGTGTCCCAAACCTGTATGCTGTGAAATGCCTGGTACCAGAGTAAATCTAAAAATGTTTGTGTTAGCAGCTGTTGTGCTTTTGGTTGCAATGGCTTAGCTGTTGGAGCTCTATGCAGAGAATAATATTGCTGTCCTTTTTCAGAAAGATTATCTCTTGTTTATGATGCAGTCACATACACAGTCATTCTGACCTGGCAAAGAGATGCAACTTCCAGACGCTTTACAATATGAAGCTTTGGTCTAAATCCTATGTTCAGGATAAGACTGGATATACATGACAGGACAAGAAATTAATCACAAGACTTCAAGTTAAGCTACATACTAAATCATACTTTAGGTTTGAACTTCACCTAGACAATTTGAAGTTTTTGTTCAGATCTGCTGCTACAGTGAGGGTCATATTCTTATTCGATTTCTAATAGTGTCCTAGCCTTTTCCCTTTGAGAGAGAGGTTAGACAGATTTGTTTAATAGTAACTTTGATTCCTTTAATTCCTTTAATAAGGCCAACTAACGTTGTGAGCACCATAAAATGCATTTTAATCCCTGAATTTTTTCTGTGGTACTGTTGTTATGTGTGATGTTCAGGACTGGATAGTCTTGTAATGTTAGTTTTTATATTATTTCCATCCATTTTTCCATGCCCGTATCTTAAACTGTTGTCTAAATGTTGTCTATTGGCCTGTCTTCTACGTCTGTAAACAACTTAGGGGATTTCTATAAGGTATTTGTTTTGACAGAGTGACCTGCATGTACAGAAATACAGTATAAACACACCTAACAAAAATTCTGTTTGATCCAACAGTAATTGTCATTCTTGGCTGTTCTACAGGCCAGCAGAAGCCCTATGTTTTCTGCTCTGGTTTTCATTCTGAATCATTTTAACTAACAGTAAAAATGCAACTGTTTGGCTCCATCTTGGTTTTAAACATATTTATTCTTATTAAAGTAAATTGAAATTGTTTCCGGGGCAGAAAAACAGAAACCACAGAATGTTTTTTTACTAGAGGAATCACATTAAAATACAGAACTTGTTGATGTATTTGTCAGATCTATCTTGACAGAAATTGTTCATGCTCAGGGAAACAAAAACAAAAAAGGTGATCTCAAACCTAAAACATTGGTAATAATTGAGAATGTACTTCTATGACAGAAAAAGTGTTTACTGTCAATTAGTATTTATTGTAGAAGAGCTTGAAGAACACCACTTCCCAAAAAATGGTCTCTGTCAGGAAAGTTATTTTGCATAACTACTATATTTGGAAAGCAGAAGTGTCTGCTGTCTTGGGTTATGTCTCCCCTGTCAGATAAATAAATATCTGTTATATCAAAGGCTGATTATTTGCTAGCTGACCTGTTAGGGGAAACATACGGTTCTGTGAAGGTGATGCCAGATATACAATAGATGTACCGTTGACAAATGGCTACTTCATTATAAGATCATCTTCATTGTCTCCATCAGCATTGTGTAGCAAAACAGTTAGAGAGGGTCAGTGGCCCTCCTGTGAGGCTTTCACACCATCATTCTGCAGTGAAATCACATCTCTGGCACCTTCTGAGTACTGATGTTGGCAGCACTGCACCGGGAGTGGCTTGGAAACATCAGTTTGTGTCAGGCATGCAGGTGGAGGTGGGGGTCTGAGTAGGACTGTCAAGATAGATGTAGATTAAATTAAAATAAGAGTGATGAACTTGCTGTAAAGTGAATGGAAGCTCCATTTAAGGAGCATTTCAACATTTTGAAGTTGCAGCTATGATGCTACATTTCAGAGTTACATCAAAGTGACACGTTTGCTTGTTCTAAAAGGTATGTACCATTAATGAAGTTGAATTTTAATTTCTTGCATTAGGTCATTTCTCCTGTTTTCTATTCTGAGAGTAAAATTTTACTATATGTGTAAATATTGCCTACAGAAGACAAACAAACTGAGAAAGCTGAGTGTAATTATAAATTGTATAAAATTCCAATATATAATTTTAGTAAAAGAAAGGAGTACTGTTTATGCTGCACTGGATGTTCTGTCCAAAAAATTTAAATTATAAAATAATTACTACCTATTAGCGAGTAAAAACAATGTAAAGTATAATTGGAATTACCATTTATATAAAACAATTTATTGAGATTTCATAAAGGTTGTTATGTCATAATAGAATTTACAGCATTTATAGCTTTATGATATCAGCTATCTTTCTAGTCTTTGGTACATTGTAACTGTAATTTAGGTTTACTAACTTTAAAGATTATTGGGAAAAACACTCTTAATCTTGAGATTCTAATGACTTTATTCCAAAACATTCATCTTCCAAGTTGTAATATTACTGCTTCAGTTACTTTTTCTTCACGTTTTTGTTTGCTGTGAGAATGATAAGGAAGTGATGGCAACTTTAATTGTGTTACCACTGTGCAAAGATTCACCATATCTTAGTATCATTCTAGCTCAGGCAAATGTCAATTGAATCCAGAGTACCATAAATTGATGGGTTACTTGCTATATATGTATTGCTTGGTGTACATGTTTTGAGGTGTGAATATAGAAATAGATTCTAGACCAATGCATTTTTATCTGGGATCCAACAGGTTTTAATCCCAGTAGCAGTGAGACACTGAAGTAATTTCTTCAGCTGGAAATAAAATAGAAGATTGTTTTTGGGGTTTTTTTTCTGTCAGGTGCTAGTTCTACCATGTGATTCTACCACTGATTTTGTTTTTCACCTTAGCAAAACCCTACACCTTCAAACCAGGAAATATGACTGTTGCAAATACATCATCATGTAGAAAAACAGGAAGAAAAATTTTGGAATGTTTATTTTTTTGACCATCTGAATTACAGTGTCACATCACTGTTTTGAAGCTTGCTGAGCAGCATATTTTGCTAAGAGCAGCTATTAAATTATAGACCAGAATCTGTTGCTTTGTTATCATAACCTAATAGATGGATCAGCATGTTACTATTTTTAATGTGGGTAACGGATGGAAGAGGAAGAGAAATATTTTAATGTTTTGAAACCTCCAGAATGGGAAACAACTTCTTTACTAACTCTATTGGAAATGATTAGCAAGATGAAAATATGGTAAAGTTAATAGTAGCAGCCCACTAGACCTACATTTTGTATTATTTTTGCAGGACTCACAGTTAAAAAGCAGCACAAATCATTCTAGTGATTGCATTTCTTGAAGTTAGAGAGAGAAAAAACTTGAAGCAAAAAATAGGAAGGCCATGATGGTTACTTCCACTTGCTGCTCTTTCAGACACACTTTTAGCTGAAACCAAAAATGCATATATATTAGTATTAAGAGGACAAAAAAAGAAAATATTATTATTGATATGTCATGTATCACAACCATATGTATTTTAGAAAACTGCTGTTTAGTGTGTAATGTTGCAAGGATTATTTTCTAAAATCTTGGTTTTTTCCAGCATAACTCTTTAATTTCTCATAAATTTCCCTGATCATTTCGAAAAGGTAAATGACTACCATTGATCCGACACTACAGATGGAAAAAATTATAGTATATATACACCTTACATTACAGTACTGAGAGTACCATTTTGACACTAAGTGGTATGAGGATTTTTAAATATATATATATATATATATATGTATATATATATAAACACATATTCTTGTCCTTCCCATCCCCTAAATCAGCAGTGTGTTCAAATTTTTCTTCATCTTTCTTACATGATCCAGGTGAATTGCTCTAGTGCAGTACTGTGGACATAATGTTTGTAGTGAAGTCTGTATATAAAAGCCTAAAGGAATTTACGGTGCTGCAAAAGCATCTTCCTACTTAGTCTTCCCTTTCTGCCTGTTTTTATTCTTTTGAAAGTACAAATCAATGCATAATTTTGAAATGGATTGTAAAGTGAGCAAAAAGAAAAGCCTCACTTCGCTTGAATTTTCTATGACTAAGTACTCCTGATTCAGTGAGTTTGTCAGTGAGATTTGTGCTGTGGGAAAGTACATAGACTTTTTCAGTACTCAATTTCAGCATTTAAGTACTTTTGAGTTAATTTGGAACATTATTTTAGTTATGCTAGATGTTGTTATTACTCTGTTCATTATTGTTTAACCAGACATGTAATTCTTAACACTGTACGAAACACAACTGGAGCACTTTTTTTGTCTCTGGATGAGGACAAGAATATTTGCTGTCTTTGTACTATGGTATGTTCATGTTTTACGTTGAAGGACAAGAAGACAAAGATTGTAGCTAAGTTTCTGAGGAAAGGCAGAATGTGAAATGTGTCAGATTTCTAGAGGGTTACAGTAATTGTCTGTAGTGGGGCCACATTTTCAAATCACTCTTTGTTCTATTTCTTAAGTCCCGTCTGTCACTCAATGAACATTTTCAAAGGACGGGTGTAGTGGCATGCTAGCTGCAATGCTACAAATATAAGAAGTAGAAAAACTGTGTAGAAGAAGTTTGTTTACAATTATTGCTAAAGAATAATAAGGTACTTTCTGACTCTTGTCATTTGTCTTATTAGATAAACTGTACTTTGGAACAAGCTAGCCATTTATAAACTTTCCCAGCTATGTAACTCCATAAAATATAGCACTTTGTCAAAGCAGATCCATTAACCCTCTGACTGGTGCTCTTTTGGCTCTGATTGCAGCACCACACAGAAGCACCTAGCCCATCCTTGCTCCCCCCATCAGCTTTACCATTAGATGTGTTAAACAATGCCGTTGCTGGATTTAGTACTGTGGAAGACCTTATCCGGTATCTTGAACCAGATCGGTGGCAACTGGATTTGGAGGATTTGTACAGGCCAACGTGGCAACTTCTTGGAAAGGCGTACATTCATGGGAGGAAATCAAGAGGTAAATTACTCTTCTGTCTGACCTTGCAGCTTTCTACATGTGTAATTTCTTTATAAAAAAACAGTAATTAAGAGCATTCTTCACCTTAAGTTTTAGTTCCAAGAAAGGAATATGTTAGAAACACAGCAGTTATCATTGTTGTTAGCTGTTCTCACCATTGTATTATTTGAAAAATGACAATGACTAAACTCAAAACTTAAAGGAATTTAGCAGGATAAAACAGCAAGTGGGGATAAAAAAAAGGAAGTAAACAAGGTAGTTTCCTATAGGGAACCTGGGAGATCTTTTTTTCCACAAAGTAGCAGGGCATCTTGATGGGGTAACATAATCGAACTTCATGGGTTTATTTTATTATGGAGGGCAAAACTTTATTTTTTGTTTGACATTGGTAACTTCTTACTGTATTGTGTGAACGAGTGGTTTATTTCCTTAGAATTTTTCCAGCCTCTACACGAAATAAATTGAGAGCAATTACCTAAATCTCTCTCTGATGATATCTTATGAAATCCTTGTGTCCATGTCTGGTTTGTCATGCAGTTGTCAACTTCATCAGTTGTAAAGTAGGTTATGTTTTCAAAACTTGTAGAGCTATTGTTAAGCAAAACATTTTCTTCCATCTGCCTTTGACACTCATGAATTTCCTACCATATATCATTGAGATGCTACCCACTATTTCATGTTTATGGATTCTGTGTGGATGGATAGCATGCAGGCAATACCACTTTCCTTGCCCACCATATGGCATGAAAACATATGAGCAAAACTGAATAGACTTCTCTGTTGACAGATGTAGACTAGATTATCATCTGATCAGCAAGAAAAGAGAGGAAGTAAAACCTTTCATAACTCAAATTTAAGATTTTGACAGCTAATTCTTGGATCAGAGCCTAGAGATCAACCTTTGTACTCTACCTGCGTTGCTACAGCTGTGCACACAGCAGCTAAATCAAGAACCAGAGAGGAGGAAATATCTTTAAAAGCTCTCAGCAATGGACCATACCTCTCAGATAGTCATTTAACACTTCCTTAATTAAAGAGATTTGGTATTTGCCAAATGTATGTCATAAACATACAATAAGTGGGAGAAAAACAAAACGTAGTTTGTGAAAACTTACATAAACTAAAATGCAGGTGTTGGATAACATCTGTATAGACAAAAGCAACTCCTTGCAAGACATATCTCAGAAAGAAACTATCAGAGTAAATCTTTTAAAGACTTCTAATTAGATGCTAAAATAGATTTTTCCACTGAATAAACATAGCATGGTATTGCCACATTTATCTTAAAGAGACCACCCTCAGACTGCATTATGGAGTCTGTAATGTAATAGCCTGAGGTGAAAAATTTGTCCAGTTGAGATGACATAGTATTAACTGTTAGGTCTATTCAAGAGAGAGAAAAAGCAAACCTTTTTTTTTTTTTTCCCCTCCCCCATGTTATTCCCTCAAGTAGCATATTTGCTGTATTTCAAAAGCTTTTTAAGAAATGTTTGGGAGAAGTGCATGCCCTAAAATTTTTGGGTTTTCTCAAACTCTTTGATTCTATGATTAGATCAGTTTCATTTTTGCAGTGTTTCAATGTAAAAGCTAAATTACTGTCCTGCTTTCATGAACATGTAATTAAAAGTGTATGTTACTTTAGTAGAGAAGTGCCCTCTACTCCTACTTAATAACTTGTATGAAAAAGGCTATATTTAGACAACCTAAATTCCACAGAACTGTCTCTGATGTTTTCTCTGGATAAAATGCGTCCAGAAACTTCTAGCCAGGAACGAAGACACACCAATTCAGAGGCTTTGATGTCTAAACATAGTCCTAAATTCTTTTATAATATTAAGCATACTTAAAAATAAAATATATTTTGCTGTGCAAAAAAATTATCCCATTGCTTCCCACTGAAATCTGTAATCATTAGATCATATTCCGAAGCCTGCTCAAAAAGGAAAAATAGTCACAGTCAAACCACAGTCCTTAGCAAATGCTTTTTTCATACAGTTATGTGATTTTTATTTTTTTTTTTTTACTTCTTGTTTGGGATTTTGTAACAACTACTGTTGTAGAAGCCAGTAAAAAACTTAACACTCCCAGGAACATCTCTGAAGTGCTTAGGAATGAAAACCATCCTGCTGCTATCTGTGCTCACACACAAGTGCCCCAACCAGAATTTAGTTTGTTTCCTTGACTTTGAGAACAGCATCCAGCTGGAAAAATGTTTTGGGAAAGAAGTTTCCCGAGGGACTCAATACATGTCCCAGAAGATGCCAGACCATTGCATTGCCAATTGCAGAACACAGTTAATTTCAGGCTGATGTGAACATGGATTAGTTCAGTTGTATGTGCCAGTGAAGGCACACTTTCGACGTACACTTTACTGTAGACCTACCTATATCTACATTTTTTTCCTCCCTTTTTTTCCTTCTCACTTTATTTTTATTTTAGTGTTTCTCATTTATATGCTACTGCAGAGCCTTCTATTCCTCCTGAGCTAGTGCTAGACAAAGGAACTCTGACTGTTGTGTCAGACATGATACATGAGTGGAAGCCAAGTTGAAGGAGTGTTTAAATGTTCACATTATAACAGGTACTGTAACTCAGTGCACTTGGGAAATCCACATAACCTTTTATTGTGGTTAAGTAAACACTTTTAAGGGAATATATACATTCTCTCATCTAGCTTCATGCCCACAGTGTGTTAAAATAAATTTTGAACAGACAGCTACTCTTTGAAAAAATAACAGCTTCATTCACACACTTCAAAGAAGTGATTATATAAGCACTAGATAAATTTGCCACAGACCTTTTAATGAAATTGAATTACATAAGGTAGGGCAAGGGTTCATTGTGAAGTATCATAGCAATATACCTTAATACATTTTAAAGCATGAAAATCAAATATGACATTTGTTCATCTCTTCTGAAGCCTGTTGTAACAGTATGGCACACTGAAATATATCTGCTAAGAGCTGACTTTGTGCTTTCCACAGAACCCTTTTAAAATTCATGTCTGCATGTGTGAGAGGTTCAGTTCAAATTCATTTCAATTTTGTGACAGAATGTGTAACACACTGCTTATTTTAGTGCATTGCCCTTTTCTCTATGTTATAACTACAGCTAGCACTGGGAAATTGGTGCATTCCACTGGGGGCTGCCAGAAGGCAGGCATCTCTTTCCCACTGGTTGGTGGGCTTACTGGAAGAGCTGTCAGTGCTCAGCTTCCACTTTCAATGTCTCATGGTGAAGGGCTGAGCAGCACATAGGCTTAGCTTCTTCAAATTCACAGTTCCAAGCATATTAGTCTCTGCAGAAACAATCTACCAGTAGAAAGTATTAGCAGAACTAGCATTTCTCACATTGTGCTTTAGGCATTTTATCCTCATTCAGACGGTTCAGTTATTATATGTTTAAAAATGTAACATAAGAAAGAAGTACTCCATTCCTGTGTATAGTCCTTGATTAATGGAGGTAGACATGTCCACCCTCTAAATGACTCAGCCCAGAGCTATTAGCTGATCAGAAGAGCTTAAATAATTTCTGATTTCTCACAGTGAATCTCTCCCCCGGAAGTTTTGTCTCTCTTTTCCTTTGCTCCCTTCTCCAAGGAATGCTCTTGCAGTGTGGGAGGCAGGCTGGTGTCCTATCAGTAACTGTATTGGAGTTAGTACACACTCCCCACTCTTAAAAATCAGCTTGTTTATTTAGGAGCCTGTGTTAACCTGATAGTGATGGAATGAAGTGCCCCAGCTTGGCATTCACTGTAAGTGCAAGGAGAGAAAAGGCTTTAGCATGTTTAACTGACCTTTCGAAATTAATCCTTACTTATGGATGCCAGTATATGGATATGGTCTGCAGAAGAACTGTTTGAAGAAGCGTGGACTAAAATTCCTTCCCAAAGATCTACTCCTGGGATAGTACCAATGAGCATTTCTACTAGCAGCTTCTAAATTCTCTTTGTTTCTTATGTGTTTAAATAAAATTAAGAAGTGTTATCTTGCCTTGATAGGCTGAAGTTCTCCTTGATGACCTCTAGAGACTCTTTATATAATAAGTAGAGAGAAAAGAAAGGTATTTCTCTAGAAGGTGATTAAGATCAAAAACTTGTTTTAGCTTTATTGCTTATCTTTTTATTTATGAATGGATAACAGCAAATAGAAAGTATTTTTAAAAGTAATATCAATGCACTGCGATATTTTTTCCCTGATTTCTTTTTGATTTAGCTCAAAACCAGTTGATTAAAGATCTTTTCCACTTTGTTTGAGGCTTCTGTTTCAGCCATCTGAGTAGCCACATCATCATTGGGTTTTCTTTTTCTATTTTTCTTTTTTTTTTTTACCAGAGAAAGTATCCCTGTGAATTAGACATTACTTCTGTTCTTTAATGATAGGTTTGGAGAAAAACAGTTCAGATAAAATATCCCAGATCATGGTTATTATAATCTGACTTTTCTAAATTAAATCAATTTACATTGCTTTTCACTTTTTTTTTTCAGTGTTTCTCTTTTTTTTTTTTCTTTCAATTTTAACTGCTTCTTTCAAGGCCTATTATTTCTTGACTGTGCAGCTAAGGTGAACCTAAAGGAGCTTGTCCTGTTTCAGAGCTTTTCATGAGCTTGCTGTTCAACCACTGGCATGGTAAAACTTTACTGTGATACAGTGGAACCAGTTTATAGGGAAACAGGTGCCAAAAATTAATATCTTTAACTTGCACTTCAACTTAGGTGCTTACAAGGAGGAACTTTTTTTTAAGACACATCAAAAGAAAATAAAACTTACAGAAACAACAGAAATTCACATATATGCTGCTATGAAGGAGGAGGGGAAAATGGAGCCTACTAATAGTTACATAGGTACACAGTCTTGTGCACTTATTTATTCTTTGCAGAATTCACTGATGATGACAAGTTCTTGAAGTTCTTAGTCCAAAAATTCTGCTTAGATATAAATGGTTTGATTCTTTCTTATACTTACATCACCCTTGCAAAGAAGCAACAATTGAAAATTTAGCAAGTTTGAATGCTTTATGCAAATGAATTACAACATCTTTGAAATTTTGCAGGATTCTGAATTGCTGTGTATTTGTCCAATCCAAAATGATTATAGAATAGCAACACTAGAGCTCAGAGTATTAGTATGAACAAAAAGAATTCCATTAAGGTTGATTTTATAAAACATATACTGGAACATAGCAGCCAAAGCTTGCTTTGTTTAATTTGAGCCAACTTTGCCAGAGTTATAAAATAATTGGTGACTATTACTATGCAGCGATCATTCCATTTACGTTTCATGGTATTCATATAACTGCAGTATTATACTTTTGTGCTGAACGTGTGCCACCTGCACAGAAGTGAACCTTCCTCAGGGGTTCTTCACTGCTGAAGTTGGTTTACTACCAATGAACTTGGAGTGTGAATCAGAAAAGCATCAGTTTCTTTGTCTTTTTGCAGTGGTTGATCTCAACCTCCTAAAGGAGGAGGTGCGACTATATAGTTGTACTCCTCGCAACTTCTCAGTGTCACTGAGGGAGGAGCTGAAGCGAACTGACACCATCTTCTGGCCATTGTGTCTCCTGGTTAAACGTTGTGGTGGAAACTGTGCCTGTTGTCAACAGAACTGCAATGAGTGCCAATGTGTGCCAACAAAAGTCACCAAAAAATACCATGAGGTACACACCTTTTTTACACTTGCATGTTTGGAAATACTGAAAGCCAATTAAGGAGTTTGTTTTTACTAAAGGAATGCACCAATATTAATTCTATAATATTTTATGTATTACCCCTGTAAATACATTTTTTAGCATTTTAATTAGGTATTAAATTGAAAAAAGTAGTATCTGCTTGTTAAAATACTATTCTGTGCAACTATTAATTTGTTTCTGAGGTATTTGTTTACTAGTGCAGTTCAAACACATCACAACCATACCTTTTGTTCTGCTTTCTCTAGTGATAGATGACAGCTTTATGGAGAAATGGATATTTGTCCATTTCCATTGCTATAAATCTATAACTACAATTACTTATTATAGAATTATCTAATTGGGTAATTCTACTATTAGCTCTTAAATAAAATTAGGTAGAAATCTGAAACTGCAAGACTCTTCTTTGGTATAGCACCATAATTTAATCATGTTCAACAAGATTTAATCAATTTTGTAAAGGGCTTGAGGTAAAAGAAAAAATAGTAATAAGGAGGTGGAATTAATGAAGAATTTTTGTTTAATATGCTTCCTGTCATCCAATGTGTTTCGAGTGCTATCTAGCTCATAGTCTGGGTGTATGATGAAACACCTACTCTTTTCTTGATGCTTGACTTCTTCCCCTTCAGGTTCTTCAGCTGAAACCAAGGATTGGTGTCCGGGGATTGCATAAATCATTGACAGATGTACCCTTGGAACACCACGAGGAGTGTGACTGTGTTTGCAAAGGGAATACTGAAGGATAAACATGATTTAATTGTGCTGTTTTCTTTCAAAGCACATTCAATCAATGGCTGATTCTATTATGGGGCTTGTGCATTATCTCCTTCTGTAATCTCAGTTGTTTGCTTTGGGGATCTTCCATCTTCAAGATTTACAGTGATCTCTAAAAACAGGAGAAGCCAAACTGGGATTATATGTTGTGTGACAGCTCTGTTTGGAGGCCCAGTGAAAGGATGGGAGAAAGGCATCAATGAGGGATTTAAAATATATGTATTGTTGTTATCCCCACAATTTTCTTGCCAATACATGGATTTATAATTTAGGAGTAGAAATAGAGTTAGAAGGCTGACATCATGGAGACTTGATTCTGCTGGCCATCTCATTTCTACAGCTCCAGTGCACCTCGCCTCTGGTTGAAAACACCCGACATCTTTCTTTCTGTGTTCAGCTGTGCCTACGTACTCTAAATCAAAGCATTCTCTGTTGTATGAACTTGGGCTAAAACAGACCGTCTTGCTCCGAATTATACTTAATTTCTCTAATGCTGGTAGGAAGGACTGGATTTTTTGCATACGCTCTAGTAAAGCTCCTGCCTTTTAGAAGGAAGACTGGACAATAACATGATCTAAGGAAGAAAACATTGAAAAGAACATCGCCTTTATTCTTAGTACTATGGCTGATGATTTTTGGTTGGTTTGTTTGTTATTTTTTTATTGTGTACATTTTTATATTCTCCTTTTGACAGTATAACTATTTGCTTTTCTAAACTTGTTAAATATATCTATTTTTACCAAAGGTATTTAATATTCTTTTTTTTTTATTACAACCTAGATCAACTATTTTTTAGCTTTGTGAGACTTTAAAGCCAGATGTGTACGGCTGAAGGAACAGAGATGTGGTTATAGTGGGAAAGAAACGTGATCTCATTTCAGTTTGTTTCTACATAGTGAAAAAATACAGTTTTTTACCTGGATATACCATAATAATAGAGATGTGTGGATGAAGCTCTAAGCTTGCTCACTCCATGAGACTAAAAATATGAGGGACAGACATTACTATAAGCGGTTTCAGAAGCTGACTTTAAAATTCCCTCTCTCTGGCCTTTGTTCAGGTAGAAAAGAAATGAGCATAGATAGATGCATTCTGGCTTGTTTAACTCTTTAATTTCTTAAAGTAGAAAAAAAGAAACCAGTAAGAAAAGAAACCAATGGCTTGTAGCCTTCACGGTGCATTATGGTCATGGAAGGCAGCCTTGTTAATGTTGAAGTGTATGGTTTTCCATTGACAGTTATAGCTGTTTGAGTACTGTTCACTCACAGGAACGTAACACTCTGCAGTACAGTTTGATGAACTATGGTATTGTTCTTCTGTATGTATATTCTTTAACCAATACACTTATCCCACCCTATGCAAATTGAAAAGGCAACAGTAAAGTATTTTGCTTGTAAAATGCTTTAACATTATACCTAGTTTATTTTTTTGACTATTGGATTTTCAGATTGTAATAAATCACAAAATAAAGTAATAATGCTAATTTTGGGAGAATAAATGTTTCAGTGTGGCTACATGTTTGTATCTGTTCAATGTACAACTTAATGGGAAAAGTTAAGATGGTGATTTTCTCCTTATTGTTTTGAAAGTCAGCTCTGAAAACAGAAGTCTTCTGTTACCAAGACTTCCACTTGTTTTAATAATTCTGCATTAGTGTAAATCCACAAGAAGAAAAAGAGGAGGAATGAATGTGATGCTATTTGTATAAACATTCAAAATATTCAAAATTGTGGGGATGTGAAGCCATCAAATTGAAATAACATCTTCTGCTATTGTTTCCATTGTGAAAATGGATTCTGATGTAAATTTGGTTTTATGCAATTTGGTATGACTTTTTGATACCAGTTCTGGAAAATTCTCTTCTGATTCTGTCCCCACACTCAAACTCTTACTCAATAAGAAAAGTATCTGGTGTAAATGTGACGTATAATTATCCAGTCTGAATATTAACCCTGTGTCAGAATGCAGAATTATGGTCACATGAGAAACCTGCTATACTTGAATTTTGAGTATTTGAGTGTTTTGCAGGGATGTTGGGGATTTTATTTTTTTTTGCATTAATATTATCCCTTTTTTGTGATTTAAAGAGCTCTTGAACAGCAAGTTGAGATAGAAACAGAAATCATAGCCTCTGGCATCATAATTTAGCAGAAGAGTCAAAAAATGCAATTCCATTACAGAAATTTCTGCTGTAAAAAATGCAGGAGGTCTCATCCTTTCTGTAGACTTGATAGAGGAAAAGACAGGGGTAGCTGTTTGATGGGGAGTTTCAGGAGCCATATGGGGTATGGAGGGTAATGATCTCCAAATGTCGCAAGTATTTCTTGTATTGCCCCCCTTTGGCTCGCTTTCTTCCTTGCCAATTTCTTTCACCAATTTACTTCCCAATTGCTTGCTATGGACCTATGTGTGAGCTCGTTATCCTTTTACTCTTTATATCCCCCTTCACAGTGCTGTCTTCCTCATCTGAATCCAAAATCACATCCCTTCTGCTTGCCATTCTCTTACCAAGCATCGTTAAGCTCTATGCCTAATCTTTATGTCAGGTCTTTCAGAGGAGAGTTAACTTTTTGTGGCCTTGAGATGAGCCGAGGCTTGTTATACCTACAGTTACAGCATTCTGGAAATGCTCCTCCAAGAGTTTTGTTTTGTTTCATTGTTATTTATGTTCTGTTTTTTCTAAGCAAAAGATGTGGTAAAAAACTAACTGAAGATATTAACTGTGAATTGCTAACAAGCAACTAATAGTGCCTTTCACAGTTAAAGGTCATGGTAGCTGAATGCCAAGGGTGGGAAAAGACTGACAACAGTGGGTAGTAAGCCTGTGATTTTCTAATGTGGAACAGAAGTTGCAAGTGTTGATCTTACATCTTTGTGGAGATTTTTAAAAATTTGTTACTGTCTATTTTAAGCCATGAGTTTCTGAATTGCATTAGTGTTAGCATCAGTGTTTGGGAATAAAGGGAGAAATCGCTATTTCCAATGGGTCTAAACAGTGGAAATAACTGAGTAGAATAAAGTAGCTCCTGTAAACAGACAAAATCCTAATAGCATAGGCTGCATTTTGTAGGTTTTATCCTATGCCCAATAAATGTCTTCAGTTGAAAGTAATTATTACCCCCAGAGGAGTAGATGGGGGAAGCTGACAACTGATTTTGAACCTTGTTTTAATGGATTCTGTAGATATTCACATTTCTGGAACTGTCTTTTCAGCTGTGGCCAACATGAGAATCATGTGGAGAAGCACCAAAACTTTACTCACCAAGGGCATTAACTGCAGGTCTCTTGGCTCTTAAACTCATTTAAGTTTCCTTGCTCTTTGTCTGCCTAGTTGCACAGGCTCACAGCTCCTTTTCAGTAGAAGAGGAGAAAAAAAAGTGTGGAGGGAACAGACAGACAGAAGCATAAAGCTTTGTGACTTAGTAGCTAGTGTATCAGCTAATGCAAGCTGTTACCTGATTTCCTTTCTAACAAAGGACTGTGTTGAAACTCAAAAATTTGCAATTCAGATGCTAGTTGCTTAAATAGTCTCATTTTGATTACACCAAACTCTGGAAATAAAAATTGTAAACATTTACTTTCTATTTGACTTTTGAAGATACAGTAATAGTGCTACTGTTCAAAACTCTCTCACAAAACCTCATGCAAAAATGCTAAAGAATCGTGGTTGCAAGACTCATTCAAACCAAGTAATGAAGCTAAGTAGACCAACTTAAATTTCTTTTATTTTGCCTAATGAAGTAAAGACGGAAGTGCCAGTTTGACTCAAGCTCACACTGCCTCCTTCAGATTTTGCTACACTGAAGACAGATCCGAACCAACTTGGGTCTGGTGTCAGTCCTGTTCAGAGTGATTGATAAGGCACATCTTGGTAAACTTACTTTTCTTTCACTGTACAGAATCCCAGTACATTAATAAGGTTGGCAAGAAAACTTGTTCATTTGTCTTACTTTGTCCTGTTTCACTTATATCTGTGGGGTGGGCCTTGGGATCTCAGACAGCATCTACATGAAACTCATTTAAGAGAGAAGGCCAGTGAAGGCCACAATGTTTAGAATTCTCTTTTGAAAAACAGCATCACAGAGTGATCAAAACAATTAGCAACTTTGAGAATCAAAAGATAGTAAAATTAAATTCACTACTTTGTTCAAAAGACTTCATTTAGAGGCTGACAACTATTTAAGCTTTGATTTCACTCTTTTCGAGATTTTCCACAATTTTGGAAGATGGGCTGTTTTTCACCCTCACCAGTAGTTTTTTATTACTGCATCCTTTTGTGACAAATTGAGTGATTTCTCTCAAAAACAGTAAACGTGTGACTCTCTGTTTCCTCAGGTGTTGAAAGGCTGTACCCTCTGGTTCTTTCAGCCTTCAGGATGACATCTCTTTTATTGTGACTAATACACTTTTCAGTGAAGTAGTACCTGTGTACCATGTAGCATCTTTATGCTTGCACAGCTAAGCAGACTTTTGGTATACTTGCAGAGAGAAGGTGCCAGGCAGGAATTGGCTTTTTGGGGGCCTTCACATAATTATAAAGTCATAGCAGACTAGCTGAAGAGTGTATGGAATTCAAATTAACTAAGTTCCAGCACTGTTCTCCAGAAAGGATATGCCCCACATGCAAAGCCTCAAAACAAGTCTGTTCACCTGTGACCTGCTTAGTTAGTTTTCATGTCTCGTGCTGAAGTGTTGTAAGACCAAGCATATCTGATTTACAAGAAAGCTTTTTCATCCAGAGGCTTAAGTAACTAGAGCTCTGATTCATTCAGTAAACCATAACATCAATCTTATTTTTTGTTACATCGTGTAGTTAAATCTCGGAGCTTAAGCACAAATTTCTGATATAGTCAGAAACAGTTGCCTCTTGGTTGGGGAGGTACAGTGAGAGGGCATCTTTTCTTGACAATTTTATGGCATCTGGCTCTTTGAGAAGCAATCTGTATGCGTTGCTCAGAGATATGATCTGCATGTGGTCCTTGATGACAGAATCATGGAATATTATGAGTTAGAAGGGACCCACAAGGATCATCAAGTCCAGCTCTTAAGTGAATGGCCCATACGGGGATCAAACCCGCAGCTTTGGTGTTATTAGCACCATGCTCTAACCAACTGCGCTAATTCTGGACAAGCTGGCTTTCAATTACAAAACTAGTTCTCAAGTATGAAGAATTAGGAGTCTGTGAATAAAAAGACAAGTGAAAGGCCTGTGTTGCTTTAGACCAGGTGCTCATCTAGTTCGGTGTTCTTGTCTCTATTCACGGCGATGGTCGATGAAAGCATAAAAGTATGCTATACTTTCCAAATTCCATAAATCAGCAGTTTGGGACTCCTTTAGCCAGAGTTTGAATTACAGCCCATAACATCCTCATCAGCAGCTGTAAAACACAGCCCATTTTAATAAATGAATATGTTTTCTGTATGATGTGATTAGAGAGTCCTAATCACAGCACAGGCTCTGCCTTAAATGTCTTAAACTTAGTTTCCTTTGCCACACATGAGCTGAATGTGTTCAAAAGGAATAGATCATCTGTTTCACTACCAAAAAGGCAGGGGTATCATGAAGTACAGCTGATCTACACAGGAAAAGCAATGGACTTCTTGCATGCATTATGAAGTGTTTAATAAAAGTTTAATAGTGTCATACAGAGTAGTTGCTTGCAGGAAGGATAGAAAAAAAGTTACTAATTGTTCTTTTACAAAGCATTGTTAGTATATGTTTCCTGTACATTTCATTAGAGCCAAGGCATTGGGCATTGGTCAGATTGAACACTCTTTTCTCATACATTTGTCATGTTCCCTTTTTTTCATCAGTTTCAAATAATTAAAATATTGGCGGTTTTTTGAAGCTGAAGTTTTGACTATTGGTGATAACAATTCAAGAAGTATTAAAAGCAAACTTTAAAGCATAGCCATATCTAAATAGAGATGATGTGTTAACATCTCAAATAAAAGAAACAAAATTACGGGCTAAACCACAATGGAATCTGTGGCTGTGAGGAATTCCTTTTAGTCACCTTAGCAATTTTACACTTCCAGTAGTTTAGCAGTGTGGCATGTTAATGCCAAAGTAATATAGCTTTTTTTTCTAATTGTAAAAATAAGGATTTATTCCATGCAATTCATGAAACGAAAAGAGACAGCAACAGTATAGAAGCTAATGAAGTGTGGGCAGGATGAACTGGCAGTGAGGTGTATTGAAAACTGGAAGAATGGGCAGACCAGAACAAACTCTATTTGGAGACCAGTATGTGTGGCCCAGGGTCAATAGTGGGTCCAATCCTGTTCAATATCTTCATTAATGATCTGGATGTTGGGGCAGAGTGAGAGCACCCTCAACAAATGTGTAGATGACACTAAACTGGGAGGAGTTGACTGATACACCAGGGGATTGCTCTACCAGCCAGAGGGACTTTGTCAGGCTGGAGAAAGGCCCTATAGGAACCTCATGAAGTTCAACAAGGTGAAGTGCAAAGTCCTGCACCTGGAGAGGGACAACCTTAAGCACCACTAC